TAAGTTTTGCACACATTTTATATAACTACGAAACATGCAAAATACTTACATGATTATGAGATGCTTACATAACCTAAACCCCCTAGATCTTTCTCTCTTCTATCAGAAGTACTTTGAAAACAATGTATAAAAAGTATCATACTGTGTCATTAAGTCTGAAGAAGGGGGAAAATTGGTATATAGCTACTTAAGGAGAGGAAAAGTTCTAAAACACAAAAAGTTAGTTCTATAGCATAATAAAACTGACCTATGCAAGATGCTACTGATGTTTCTGTTTTTTATTTCATATATATGAGATCTCATAAATACATCTCAGCCTGAAGTACATATATATTTTAAAGCAGGTTTTGGTCGTTGTTTTAAAAGTCACATTTAAAATGAGAATACTCCCTGTCCTACTTAAATATAAGATGAAAAAAGCTTTAAAAGCTTTAAAACATTTTTATAATTGACAGAAAAAAAGCAGGCAAGAAAAAGAACAAAAAATAGAACCAAAAATCACTTCTCTTTGCGCCACAGAAAAAAATAGCTTGTTTGTTTTCGGCACCCAGTTTACAGCCCAGCAATCTGAGTCTATGAACTTAAGCCTTCATGGATGAGTGCACCAATTGGCTTTTGAATTACAGGATAGCATTACTCAATTAACTTTAAGACTAGCCCTTTCAAGCAATATACTTAGCTGTGGCACACAATATTTCAGTTCTAAAATGAGAATGTCAACTGTGAAACTAAATTTACAATTTCAGTTGTTTTTCTATCAGCCCCCTCCCACACTTACTACAAATTTGAATACTACAACTACAAGAAGTGTTTAAATTAAAATGTGTGCATTCTAGGCTTATTGGCAAGTCTTATCACTTTAATTACTTGGAGCTTGTCAAAATATAGGCGGATGCACACGAGTAAGGAAATCTGTGCCCTGAATGCCACATTATTAATGCTTCACCCTTAGCCAATGAAAGTAAATGTGTACTGGCTGGGGCAAGAAAAGATAGAAAGGGATGGGAAATCATGACCCTGAACTTTGCAGCATCCCCACAGAGTTCAGTGTACTGTCCCCATGCCAGCAAGCTCACTTGAAGACAGATCTGCAAGATAAAATTAGAAGGAACAAGAATTCCCCCAATACAGCAGATCATGTAAATACTTATACATATTACATGCACATGCATGCACACACACGCATCCCTCACATGTTTTATCAGTGCTTCTTAGTAATTAGCACATTATTAAATTTTGCCTCTGTTGACGTGTCTGTGGTCAAACTGTCAATAAAAAAGTTCTGGTAAATGTTAAATACTGTTTTAAATAAAGAGGGCCTATCTATCACCTGAGTTAGGAAGTCATCTACCACATACCAGAAACACTTTCAAATTTAAAGGTGTTATTTTATTGATGGCACTAATACATTTCTGGCCTTTTACAAGATTGAATATAAGCCATAAGAAGTATTGTTACGATCATCAGTGGTCAAGCTGTAATTGACATTAACCAGGCTTTGGGTTTAAGAAAGAGAAAAACAGAGAAAGCGAGTGTGTGTGTGTGTGTGTGTGTGTGTGTGTGTGTTTCTGTGTGTGTGTGTGTGTGTGTGTGTGGTGTGTTTTCAGGGTATGCTGAGAAAGGATATAGTTTTACCTTATAAGCTGTCTGACTTAGTGAAAACCAAAATACTCACTTGAATGCAAGTATATCTTTAATTGTATGTTTTCACTGTGGAACTTACAAATTAAAAAAAGCATACCTTAACAAATTATAATAATATAATCTAATTTTGAGCATTTGCAATGTGCCAGGAACTGTTCTGAAACACTTGAATGTAATAACACATTCAATCCTAGTAACAACTGAGGTGCTATTAAATTTTTTTCATAGTTGAAGAAATTGACAGGTTAAGTAACTTGCCAAAATTGCCAAGTTCACAGGGCTAACAAAAGCTCACACTCTTGGCTCCAAGCTATGTGACTCCTTGTTAGCAAATGGTCAATATGGTCTTATGTATCCCCAATTCCTACTGGTATTAAATGTGGGGGGAAAGAAAGGGAAGAAGTAAGACTTGAAGCCTCTGAAACAATTCAGTAGGAATAATTTCTTGCAGACTTAAGCAAAAATTACCTGTAAGACTAATAGTCTCTGCAGTAGAAAGATAAATCCATGGTATAATGATGAGGCAGAGGTATCAAATAACCATATTCACAAAGAATTAGAATCAACATAAATTCAATATTGTTGGAGTCTACTTTCCAAATTGGTACATATGAGCCAGGCGTGGTGGCACACACCTGTAGTCCTAGTTACTGGGGAGGCTGAGGTGGGAGGATCCCTTGAGCCCAGGAGTTGGAGGCTGCAGTGAGCTATAATCATGCCACTGCACTCCAGCCTGAATGACAGAGGGAAACCCTGTGTCTTAAAATAAAATTGGTAGATATGAAGTAGTTTGTGGTTGTTTTTACTGAACTATGGGAAAAGGTTTCACAATTGTCACCCATGCATCAGTCAAACCAGTGCTGCTTTTAAAATGTGAGGTGCAGTTACAGTTCCCAGAAAAAATAATTTAGTGCTGACATAGGAAAACACTGTTTACAGATGACAGACAAAAAGGCAATGTTAAAGCTATGTAGTCTATCATTGTCATTTTCACCTAAATGAAAATAAACACAAATGGTGGAATGTATTTAAGGTGAATACAGAAAACAATCCAAAGATTGGAATTTTACAGTTGGAAAGAAACTTAGTGAGTAATTTCAACCTGTGCATTTTACATAAAATAAAGTTCAGTAGAATTTGATCTCCATGTGCAGGTGCTATCTTCAGCTCTGGGTGTGAGTAGCACGTCCAGGGTCAGTGTATGGAGTAAGGACATGAAAGGATGATATATACACCCTGGAAGCTTCAACTTTGAGCAGTGGGCAGACCAAGAGCAAACACATGAAAACAGCTGGTAAGAAGCAATGGAGAGAGAGCAGCAAGGCCAAAGAGTGTGATGTCATGGGAGCCTGGGAAGGAAGGCATTTTAGGATAGAATAAGCAACTGTGTAATGATAGAAAGAAGTCTAAGATCAGAACTGAAAAATGATTATTAGATGTGTTGGAGATTGTTAGGTAGTGACCTTAGCAAAAGCAGTTTCAGTAGAGTGGTTATAATGGGAGATGGCCATGTTTTAAGCAATGAATGGGAGAGTAAAAAAAGATAAGACAGTAAAGGAAGAATCCGTATTCAATAAGCTTGGAAAAAAAAGAAAAAGCTGAAGTAGTGGACAAAGAAATGCATAAGGAAATGTGGCCAGGTGAGAATGAGATGAATAATGAAATCATGTGGGGAAAGACAATGAAACAGGCATCTCTGATGCATGAGCCTTGATGGGAGGAGACACCCAGCTTGCTTCGAGATCATGAAGATAGGAAATGGATGGACGCACATACAGCTATGTGGTTCTCTCAGCTGAGTTTTCATTTTTATGTTTGACTTTTTAAATTGCATGTAGTTTATTTTAACAAATGATACAAAGTTTTGAAAAATCCCCTTCCCTTACTGCCCACAGTAAGTCTGGAATGAAGGAATAAATGGTCAGCCTCAAGCCTAGCTAGACCTGGCACTCACAAGGAGTTAGACAAGCTTTTGCTGGCAGTGCACACCTCCTCCCACACTCCCTTCCCTCCATCCTCCACTCACAGGAATCATTTCCTCATTCTCCGGATCCTTCCACCAGCTACAGAAATCAGGTTCTCACGCCATGAGGAAACACTAAGGAGATTCACAGGGAGGAGTTTAACTATCTTCAATCTCGTGAAGGCTGGCAGTTTCTTAGCCTTGCCAACTACCTATTTTCCTTGTGTGGTTTCTGCCAGAGGCAAGAGCAGACAGCAAAAAGAAGAAAAGGGTGGTAGCAGGAAAAAGTCCTCGAGAAAATTAAAAGAAAAAGAAGAGACAAAGTCTTAGAAGAGGGAAGATTACTGCTGAAATTAAACCAGACAGCAGGTCAGAAAAGAAAGGTTGCTCACAGAATTAAAAAGTGATTACGTGTATTTGTCTAAGATTTTGTGGATTACCTAATGCATTGGATTATACAGTTTATTTCCAAACAGGTTTCCCTCTACAAACATGTACCTACCAGACAATCTGTTTGAGTCCTTCCCTGGGAACAAAAAGCTCTGTGTACAGTTAATTATAATTCCTTCCTCCAGTAAGAGACTAAGGCAGGAGGGTGCCCTGAAAAGCCATGCTGCCCTAATATTTTAACAACATTGACTTTGGAATTCTTGAGTTATAAAATATAAGATATAATTTTCAAATTAGATATTAGGTACAGTTTTCACTTCCACCATTTCACCCTTATTCTTAAAGGTCTGCTAGCGATTTCTCAGATGGGGAACAAATGTCTCTGAATTACTGGTGTTAGCCAGAACTTGCTAATTTAAATCCACTGCAGAGGCGTTGGCAATAGCTGTCTTGCTTGAGGGCATGCACTCCTAAAGTTTCAGGAATCCTCTCAGAAGTTTTGAGTGTCAAATGATAATGCAATTCTGTTTCTGATAAAGCTATATTCACTTAAGCATGTTTAAAGCACCTAACCCATGCTTGACACTGAACTGTTTGCTGGGAATATCAAAATGAATGAGATGTGAAATCAGTCCCTCAAGATCTCATACATAGAAAAGAACAAATATATTTTTTAATTTCCATCATCTGATTTCTTTGGAGGTTGTTAAAAATCAGAATGCAAAGACCTCTGATATATCCATTGTCTTGTGTGTTATCAGCAAAGCTATTTCAATATAAATAAGCAAAAGGATACACAACAGTCTATTACGCAAAATAAAAGTTCTAGATAAACAGACTTTATCTAAAAGAGTAACAAATGAGAATAGGAGAAATGCCAACTACTCACCTGCCCAATCTCAAGAGACAGTAACACACACACACACACACACACACGCGCGCACGCACACAACTCACACACACACACACACACACACAATAACAACCACAATAAAAATCTTACCTGACTTGCCCACACCTGCTCTCCCAAATATTGCCAATTTGACCTCCGCACTTTTAGCCATGATGGGTGTTGGTAGACAATTTGCTATTGTTAAAACTAAAGCACTGAGCAAATCTTTTTGGTTCCAGTCTTTGGATTCACCATATCATTGCAAATCTTGGAAGAGTCCACAATCCTTAAACAAAAGAAATTTGGGTTCATAAGTAACTGGAAAATAAATTAATATTTACTGAGCATATACTATATGCCAGCCACCATTCACTTTATCATCATTATCTAGTTTGATCTTTACCACTATCCTGAAAGAAGACTATGGTAACTTACTGTAAATGCTTTAACTAATAAACGGTAGATTCAGGACTTAAATTTGGATCTGATTGGTACTAAAACATGCATTATCACACACAATAGCATTTCTCTATATATACATATATATATGATTGCACTTTATATACAATAATATATATATTTCTTTATATACAATAATATCTATATTATTGCACTTTAGGTTCTGGGGTACACGTGCAGAACATGCAGGATTGTTGCATAGGTACATACATGGCAATGTGGTTTGCTGCCTCCATCCCCCTGTCACCTATATCTGGCATTTCCCCCCATGTTATCCCTCCCCAACCTCCCTACCCCCACTGTCCCTCCTATACTCCCCCCGCCAACAGACCCCAGTGTGTGATGCTCCCCTCCCTGTGTCCATGTGTTCTCATTGTTCAGCATCCACCTATGAGTGAGAACACAGTGTTTGATTTTCTGTTCTTGTGTCGTTTTGCTGAGAATGATGGTTTTCAGATTCATCCACGTCCCTACAAAGGACACGAACTCATCATTTCGTATGGCTGCATAGTCTTCCATTTCTTAAGTACTTCCTCAAGAATTTGTTTTATGAAGGTATTGATTATTGGTAGTAATTGAATACACACATTTATCGTCTATCTTTACACATTCAGTGTACAAACACATGCAATGGCGCAATGGAGAGAGGTACTTTTGAGCCTCTTCATGTCTCTTTGGGTTGAATAACAGATATTCACATTAGTCAACTCCACTGCAACACGATTCCATTTTGCATCTCAAAGTTAAATTTTATCTCGATTCACACTCAATCACATGATGAAGTCATGTGACAGACAGAGATACACATTTTCTAGGAATCAAAATATAATATGTAAATTATATTTTTATATTTTGCTGGGCACCATGCCCTGGTACACAAAAGATAAATCCCATGCTCCAAGTTATTATTCCTTTTCTATGATGACTTCAAGTAAATTAGTTTATAGTGCTATCTTAAAACTTGGGAAAAATCATTATGTACAAAGTAAGCACAACTTCCTTAGTTTGGTACTTTAGGAATGGCATCTAGGTTCTTAGGACCACAGAAATGTAAATTTGGAAAGAGTTTTGGTGGTGGGGGGGGCTCGGGGGAGGTCATCTGAAATGATCTTCTAGCCATTCTTCTAGCAAGAATCTTTCCCAAAGACATAGTCCACGCCTGACTTACCACTTCCAGGCATGAAAGGTGGGCTCATTACTTCTGTATGCTCCTTCATTTCTCCAATTAGGAGAAAGTGTATTTCTAATATTGAGCTCTACTCTGTCTCCCAGGGGCTTCTACTCATTTGTCCTGGTTTTTCTCTATGAAATAACTAAAAACAAGTCAACATTTTCTTTCACTCAGAACCGCGCAAGGATCCTAGCACCTAGTAGGACCCTTTGCTACATCCTAGGCTTTTTCTAGGAACATGAGGCCCAGCCTGTCCACTTGTTTTTCCTGGAATGTATACTCTTGATTATGATTTTTTGACCTTCACTCCTTTTTTCATCATGTGCATTGCCTCCTCAACATCTTAATCTCTCTAAAAACGTGGTGTCCACTGCATTCCACTTTGAGATATGACCTGACAAACTGACCCGGTGTAAATTCCCTGAGATTTTCACCATCATTAATCTGCACACCATGGTTGTACTGTGGCACAGCCAATCACATTAAGCCTCACATCTTTTACAAGGGCTGCAGGCCCCTCATTCTGAACTTTTGCAATCAATGGCTTAAACCTAAATACAACACTGCACTTTTACCCGTGTTAAACTTAATCTCCTCAGTCTTCGCAATTCATTCAGTTTGTCAGTCTGTAAAGTTGTTTTAAACACAAATATGTATCTAAATGTGTTAACTGTTCCTGCTAGGCTTTTTCCATCTATAAATTTCTACAAAGAGCTTGAGAGAGAGAGGGGAAGAAACAGTGAAAATCCCTCTGAAAAAGTATTTCTACAAAGACATTAACATGTAATTGTTTTCTTATTTATGTATTTAAGCTATCCTCCTGTACCTAATAAGGTTTTGTATTTTTTGCTTTTCAAAGTGCCAGAGCTTCCTCTGAAAGAAGGAAAAGTCAACATTAACATTAGCTGTTGTTTACTTCATCCTCAATAATGAAAAAACTTCTAAGTAATCATTAATAACAAAAACCAGAAGTTTAAACATCTGCATTTTGTCCAGTCCCATATTTTTGGCTAACGATAAAAAGATGTCCTTAACTGTCACTTTAGATGCATTCATTAAGAAAAGGCCCCTATGTTTTTAAGGTTCAGTGCCTCATCACAGAAGCATAATATATGCAGATATATTAACTATTTTAATTATAAACGAGAAGGGGTGCTGGCATGTATTTCTTTGAAACATTGAACGTGCAAGTGTCTGGAGCTAGTATAAACAATAATTTTCTATTTCATGCAAAACTGTTCATACCCATGGATATAAAATGCAAGTAATTATCTGTCTGATTAATGTTTCATGAAAGTAGCCATCAAATGGGATTTTTAAAAAATGACAAGTCACATATTTTAGTAACTCCCAAATGGCCTCAAAGGCATAGGAATTTCACCTAAGAAAGAGAAATTGTGTGGGCTATTTTTTCCATTTATAACCTAATAAAGATACAGTTGGTTATTGTCAACCTTATGTTATGTTTAGGAAAATCACTTAATGGAAGACAAAAAACTGACATAAGTTCTTCAACATTTTATTTCTCACATGAAAATGTGAAAAGTTACACTTGACAAGATGAAAAACAAAAACAGATTTGTAAATTGTTGTAGTAAGTAAACTGTTGCCAAGTTCCTGATGTTCAAAATAATTCATAATCTGAGAGCTTCCATACATGGGTCTAATAAAATACAGTTGTCCTCATGTTCTGCTGAACTATTCTGAGTAAGGCTGAAATTTGCCATTCACTTTTTATGTGGATGGTGCTTTATTAGGACCAAAAAATCTCCGCTCCTATCACTTCTAAAGGTAAAGTCATACCTAAATATTTAGTTTGAAGGTGTAGGGTTTTTTTTCCTAAACATAAATTAAAGGAAAAAAGAAACATACTAGCCTCCAAATCCTGTATTATTAGTAATGCACTCATTGATTTATTCCACACGTACGCTATGAACATACAAATAAAAGTAGCTCCCTTTGAAGCTTACACTCTGTTAGACCTATGATCACTGTAACGTTATTTACTTATTTATTTAAAGAAAGTTTTCATTCCTAATAAATCATTCTCAAGGCTGTATTTATCAAGGTTCATGCTTTCTACTCCCTCTTGGGGGTGGGGGAAGCAAGCATCTTTATAAGGTAATCATGCTTGGAACTTCAGTTTTCATGTGCTTGTCAAAATCAAGTGTAGCTATTTAGGGAAGCAAAGACCCGAGTCTAGTTCTGGAAATGAGATTATCTTCTTTTTTGCCCTCCCCTTCTCTGGTTCTGAAATCAAGTTGTCCTGGTCTCATTAATAGGAATTCTCTCTCTTCTGATCACTATGCAGTACCTACAGCAAACCAGGATAATTGTATAAGCCCCTTGGCTATAGAATGTTGCTCTGAATCAACAGGTATCTTGCAATGATAAACAAACCCATTGTGGACTGCAGGTCACTTGCTTTCAGGCTAGGGAGAAAACGCAGCCTTAAGTCAAAAGGGCATTTTCCCTCTCAGCTAGGAGAGTCCTGCCAAGCCCCGCTGCTGGTATTCACATCTCCCTCTCAGCGAACCCCAAAGCCGCCCTGGGAGGAGGGACCCGGTGACCAGCAGGACTGACTCACAGGCCGAGCGCGCTCGGGGGCTTGGAAAGGGTCTGCAGGAAGTCGTCCCGAAAGAGCCACCTGGACACGTGCGTGACACTCACCTGTTCACACTCCCCAGGCCGGGAGAGCCACGGTCCTCTGCAAGTTCGGAATCGGTCCCCCGAGATCGCGAAGCCCTCCCACGCTGCGCAGCCCAGGCTTCAGGTTCCGTTTCCGAGTTGCTGGGCTGCGATCGTGGGTGGGACTCGCCGCAGAAGCAAGTGCCGGAGACCCGGTGGGGGTCTCCTCCCTCGCGCTCGCTCCGACTAGCGGCCGAGGGACCGCTGCAGGACGCGAGCTGAGCCCGGCAGAGGCCGCCGAGCTCCGCGGCCGGGATGCTGCAGTGCGGCTCTTCGGCGCCCCCTACCGGGGTCACGGGCAGGCGCCTCCCGCCGCACTGCCTCCCAGGCTTGCGAGCTTTGGGTCTTGAACGTGCTGCCCCCCAAGACGGACTTCCCGTTTTCAGGGCTCAGTTCCAGGCCTCCAGGCTCTTCTCAGCGAAGGGCGGCTTTCCTCCGTTAAAACCTTGCCTAAGAAAGCATCACGACGTGGTGTTCTCTATTCCTTACTTCAAAGGATCCTCACGATATCTCTTTGAAGTGTCTTCAATAATCTCAGTGATGCCCAAGAGGAAACTGAAGGAAAAGGTAATGCAAGGCTAGTAAATACAGGGCTGGAGTGAAATCCAGACTGGATCGGAAGCTGAGAGATGCTAGGTTAAAAAACAAAACAAACCAAACCAAAACAAAACAAAACAAAACAAAACAAAACAAAACCAAACCCACGGAATTCGATTGAAATTCTCTTCATATATTTGAGAAAGTTCCAAAAGCTTCTCGTCCACCTTACAAGATCGGCATTTATAGGATTTGTATTTGAGTCATACTCCATCACGCTCAGACCCTAACAAAGACAATTAACATGCGAGCTGTGCCAGACCTGCTTTCATATCCCCCATCTGACTTGATTTTTACACACTCTCTTGATGTAGACACTAGTATTATCATTACCAGCCTTTCACAGATGAGGAGGTGAGCCTCAGAAAAGTTAAATAATCTCCCCAACACTGAAACTTCTGAGCAAAGGAGCAGGAAACAACCATGTTATTGTTTTTCCCTTCTAAATCTGGGTGTTCTTACCAAGACACCAAGCGGCTTCCAGGAAACCAGTGTTACACAGAACAGACAGGGGCCTAGGGCAAAGCGAACGATCTGCAGAATGTCATCAGTGAAAGGGAGGTAACCATGGAGGCGATTTCCAGAGCCCAGGCTGACCTGGAAAGCCACTGCAGCCACGAGTGGATGGCTGAATGGAACAGCTAGATCTATGACAAAAGGAGGAGTTGCCTAGCTGAGCAGGAGTTGTCTGCTGGTTCTTTGAGAAAGCTCAAACATTATATGGTGGTTTATGAGTTTCCTGATCACTAATTTATCCCTCCCTCCACACCCACACATCTGATTAGATGCCTGCCTCCCTATCTCACAGGACACTGTGATCTTACCATTGTGTTTGTATTGTACTCATTTCTGCTCCTCAGTCCTCTCCATTGCACTGTGAACTCCCAGAAGCCAGGAATGTAGCATGTGCGACTCTGCATTCCCAGCATCAACCATACAGTGTGTATACATACAGCCTGGCATATAGTAGGTAGTTAAAGAGTACCTACTGAATTAAATGAATTAAAATAAAGAAGAAGTTGTGATAGGATATATTTGAGGTTTTTTACATACTGAATTTAGGATAGACCATCTGCAAGAAATTGAATGTGTGGGGCTGACATTTAAGAAAAAGACCTGGAAAAGAGATTTTGAGTGTCTTGGCATGCAGAAGATCTTTGAAGTCTGGGACAAGATAAGAATTGCCCAGATTGATTATATAGAATCTTACAGAATTCCAATTACATGGAATTGTGTGGCATCGAGGTATTCAGGTTTCACATGCTACCTTCTTACCCCATTAAATCTTATACTCAGGGCAAGATCTAATAAAAAATATCTGTGACCCTGTGTGTATAAATATCCCATTTACAGAGACTTGAGTTGGAATTCCCACTTTGCCACTCATATTTAATAAGAGTTATTGGCCAGCCTGGCCAACATGGTAGAGACATTATCTCTACCAAAAAAATACAAAAATAAAAAAATTAGCCACACATGGTGCTGCATGCCTGTAATCCCAGCACTTTGGAAGACTGATGTGGGTGGATTGCCTGAGGTCAGGAGTTTGAGACCAGCCTGGTCAACATGGTAAAACCCTGCCTCTACTAAAAATACAAAAATTAGCCAGGCGTGGTGGCAAGCACCTGCAGTCCCAGGTACTCCAGAGGCTGAGGCAGGATAATCGCTTGAACCCCGGAGGCGGTAGTTGCAGTAAGCCAAGATGGCACCAGTGCACTCCAGCCTGAACGACAGAGTGAGACTCTGTGTCAAAAAAAAAAAAAGAGTTTCGAAGAGGGCCCAAGCCAGGTCCCATTTGTAGCAGTTCTTTTGGAACTTGCCTATGGAAACTGATTCTCTCCATTTTTGTTCTCCTGCTTAGTCCATATAAGACAGCACTCTTATCTCTACTAGGGAGGCACTGGCACACACACCTGCAGTTCCGGATGTGCTGCTCTAAAAGAGATGAAGTGGCTATGTTTGAGCCTGACACCCACTTCATTATATCTTCCGCATGTATCCTATATTCTGTGGGCTGCTTCCTTTGTCCTGAAAGCAGCAAAAAGAGGCATTATCTCTTGTGCTGCCTGCCTCATGGATCAGCAGGAAGGGCAGAGGACACTTCATACTTATGGTTCCATGATATACGTCTGCTGGGCAAGAATTCTCCTGGGAAAAGAGAAGTGCTTGTCACACTCCAGTCTCTTAGCCCAGCCTCAGGTTTCAACTAAAACTTCTAACACAAAATGTGTAGATGAAGAGTTGGTATAACCACAAAGCATGTTGGAAACTGGAAGAGTGTGTGTGTGTGTGTGTGTGCATGTGTGTGTAGCTGTTAATCATGTTTGTTATAAATAATTCAAACAGGAGAAAAAATACAAAGATGTAGAAAATCACCCCCAGAATCACATTATCCAGAAATAATAATCATTGTTAACATAAGGGAACCATCATTATTCCAGATATTGTAGAAAACAGACATTCTGATGGACAGGTTTGTGAAATGGCATAGATATGCTAAGTGTCATCATACTGTAGATGCTGTTTTTAATTGAAAAGTACACTTAATGAAGCAGAAGGTAACAAAATTAAAGTGAACATTAAAGAGTGGCTTCACGTGATATTCACCCTAAAGATTCCTTTACAGTTTGAATTATTACATAAAACCAGATCTGAATTCATTTTGCTTAAACATGTATTTGTTTTAGTCAGTATCGGCTGACTGTAAGCTATTTGGAAAGAAGAAAGTAGCTTTTTTATTATGTCTCTTTTTTTCTCCCCTTCTAGATTTTACACAGGTTTAATGTTCATGGTCAAGATTTGTAATATTCACACTCCACTTATAACTCTCATTCCCAAAGTGGTTTAAACTCAGTTCTACATTTAAATGGAATAAATTTCTTTAATTGATTCTTCCATCATGTTTTTTTTTATTGTTGATTCTTTATTTTGATTCATGCCTTGATTTCTTCATTAAGTAGTGATTTCAAGAAGGTTTGCAGGTGCTGTGTTGTGTAATTGAGAGTACCTGTTTCTTCCTTTTCTTCTTTTTAAATTTGTTATTAGCCTAATTTTGCTTACAATGACCTTCCCTCCTTTTTTCCTGCATAGTATGTTTTTATATTTATTATATTGTTTCTTTTTAAGATCAGGACTCACATTTGCTGTATTACAAATTCAGTTAATTGTGCTTAACTTCATTCCTACCTTATCTGAGAGCTGTTTGTTTTTTCTATAAACTAGCGGTTTGAAGGTGAGCATTGCATTCTGTCTACCATCCCGAGATGAGAAGAGGTAAAGGAAAGAGAAGAGGGCTTCTGAGTCTCTGTGCAGCCTCTGATAGAGGTTACATGCTCTGCTCTTGTTCTCAGGTTTTACTAAAGACTGTATCTCAGGATTCAGTGCAGGCAGTCAGGATCACATACTGTTTCAGAAAGATTCCTTTAAGATTGAGATTGCATTTTCCATTCATTCTTGGAGCCCTTTACTCTCTGTCCCAAGCCATTTCCACTATGACTACTCACTCTTCCTTCTCCTCCCAACAGAAAAGCACAAGTGTAGTTGCTCAGTTCATTTCATTCCAAATTTGGAGACGTTCTTAATTGGTGAGAAAAAATACTTAGGATTTGATCACTCATCAGCACTGCTTCTGGAAAGCCAGGGCTGTCCATATCATGATCTTTTATTTTCATTACTTCATTTTGAAGTTACAAGGCGAGACATTATACTCCCTTCCTTATTTTGTTGCTACAAATGATTGATTATCTTTTGACTTTGGGATGGGTATTTTATTGTTGTTACTGTTTTATTTAGTTAAATATTAGGCAAAAGGAAGACTGATTTTAGCTGGGATTGAACTTTCCTGTTTACTGGGAACAACTATCAAGGCTAACCAAGATATACAAAATAGTTGTTCGGAAGCATTCGCAAACAACCAAGACAGGGCCGCACATCCCGATGGAGGGAGTGCACTGGAGTTTAGCCCCACCGGCCACAAATGTTCTTGTTGGGGGCATTTTAAGGGCCTATATCCATGAAAGTGAAGCCCAGACATCATTAAGAGATTAGAATTCAGGGCTTCTAAGGCAGCTGGGTTCAGACAGCTATCAGAGAGAGCAGCCACAGAGAGAGAACCTTAGATATTTGCATGGAAATGTTCCTAGGATCTTGGCTAATTCCAGGGCTGCACATTGTATGGTGGATCTCTAAGACATCTAGTAAAAGAACAGCTGCCTAAAGTCTGAAAGCTCCTGAATCCCAAGATCTGAATTACAGACATCTCAGAGTGCTGAGAAGACATTAAGGTTTCAGGCTAGTCAGAGTTCAGAAATCTCTGTGAAGCAGGAGCAAGGACAATACCTTAGGATGAAGGGCTGTAACCTAGGACTAAGGGTGGATCTGAAAGACCTCTCCCCACTGCAAAGACTAAAATGAGACCTTTACAGGAGCAAGCTAATCCACCAACAAATTAATGGCCTGCCAAAACAAAATACAACACTCTCAAAAAAGTTAACAGGATCCAGAGCCTGTATAATATAACCATCATCTACAATGACAAACATGCTGAATTAGTCTGCTCAGGCTGCCATAACAAAATACCCCAGAATGGGTAACTTAAACAACAGAAATATATTTCTTACATTTATGGAGGTTAAGAAGTCCAAGATTAGAGTGCTGACAAAGTTTCATTCTGAGGCCTCTTCTTTCGGCCAGCAGGCAGCTCTCTTTATGTGCTCACAGGGCCTCCTCTGTACAAGTGTGTGGAGAGACAGAAAGAGGTTTCCAGTGTGGCTCTTTATAAGGACTGGGTCCTATTGGATCTGAGTACATCCTTAGGGCCTCATTTAACGTTAATGCTTTTCGGAAAAGTTCTCTCTCCAAGTAAAATCACACTAAGAGTTGTGGGTTCAACATATGCATTTTAAGGGCACACAAACATTTAGTTCATAATACAAACAATGAACATTTTCAGATAGGCAAGAAGCACATGAAATTTGCCAATACTCAAGAGATAAA